AGCGGCGGCCTGCGTCGCCCCGACCCCCCCCCCACCCCCCCCCCTTCAAAAAAAATGTCTACATTAAATTTGCATTGCTTTGTGTTGGACTTGACAAAACACTAAAACGATGTTGATTCTTTCAGATGCCAAGATGGAGGTGGAGTGTCGAAACTTCACGCTGCCCGAGCAGTTCACTCCGAAGTACAAAGAACCGGGGAACCACAACAGCGGCGAGGACATGCTGCGCACCTGTACGTTCAGCCAGTTCCTCTGCTGCGGTTCTGTTTATCATCATTTTACCAACAGCTCTGTATGTTTTCTGTCTGTATGTGAAGATCTATGGAGGTGCCAGTTTCTGCTGCCGCTGGTGTCTCTGGGTCTGGTTGTGTTGGCAGGCCTGACAGGGTTTTTCGCCTGTCTCTGTCGAAGCCTCACCCCTGCTCTCTGTATAGGAGTTCTTCACCTTTTGGCTGGTAAGACCTGTTCCCCCGCATCACTACTGTAAACAACCTGTGAGTCACTTAGGACTTCAATTAAGAAAGCCTTTTAAATTCCCACTAAGTTGCTTGTTTGTTTCCGTGATAAATTTAGGCATGTACAGCACAAAAGGTAATGAGCCATCTCATAGTTTTGTACTTTACTTCCAAATAACTCAACTTTATTTTATTTTTTTAAGTGGACTGCATATCTTTTAATTTTCAATACAGCTCAGCCAGCTGTAAAACATGGTGGTGGCACGATCATGGTCTGGGAATGCGTTTCAACCAGCTTTTTACAGAGTATTTCATCTAATTTGGATTAGAAACAGGAAGAATGCCATCAAATATTTCATCAAAGTTCATGCTCAATAATCCAGGTTAAAAAAATCTAACAAAGTGAAGTCAGGTCATCAGGAAGATCATTATTATTTTTTTGAAACTGAGATGAAACGGATGAAGGATGCAAAGTCTCAACAAGAAAATGAAACCATCCAGATGACTTGACTTAACTTTATTGGATTTTCTACCTGAATTATTGAGCATGAACTTTGATGTTTTGAACCACTTTGGCTATGGCTTCTTCAAAAGAATCGACAGGGGAGAAGGCAGAAACCAGAAACCAACTTATCCCCACCAAACTGGTTGGCCCACTATGTGAGTGTGCTGCTTGTGGGATTGAGTTTGTTGTGGCTCTTCAGACTGATGATGTCCTTTGGATGAAGGACGAAACGTCTTAACAACAAAAGAAACCGTCCAGATGACCTGACTGAACATTGTTGTTTTCAAATGTGTTTATTATTTTAATGTTCTAAAGCACACAGAATGAAATGAAATGCTGGCAGCAGCCAAAAAACATGAACGTCCCAACACTCTGAAGACCATTTAAATAAATTACCAAGAGACGTGTTTAAGCATGTTCACATTATGAGTAAAGTTGAAAATTGATTTTCAGTTTTGCTTTGGAAACTATAATTATGGTTACGCATTACAATAAATGACCACATTTATTTAGTGTTGTTGGGGTTTTATACGGCCTCAGCGTAGTGAAAGAAGAGTTCAATAATTAGCTAATCCAAGCGGGGTGAAGACTACGGTAGATTGGTGCTCTGCGATCGCTAATCTATGGGTGTGTTCACACCAGCCCTGTTTAATCCGCTTGAATTGAACTCTAGTCCATTTGCCTAGAAAGTCTGGTTTGTTTGGGGAGGTGTGAATGTGCAAGCGAACTCTGGTCCACCTAAAAACCTAGGTCTTGGTTCAGTTGAAGTGAACTCTAGTGCGGTTCAAATGCAGTGTGAATGAAAGCGGACCAGAGATCGCTCCAAAAGCAGGAAGTGGACTACATCGCAGGGCAAACAAACGTACATTTTTCTTACCTCATACGGCGGTGTCTCAGCCGCCTTGTGTGGAAAAATAACATTCTCTAGGGTCTTTTGCCTCATCTTCTGCTCATGCTGAGTCCATTGTTGAAAAATGACGAAACAGAACTCCTAAAACCACTAAAATTTGACGCAACTCCATTTTTGTTTTTAATTCCAGAAGAAGAAGAAGAAAAGTGCCTTCTTCAGAGGTTTTTGTGTCGTTTCCTTCAGTAGTTCTTGGTGTAGCGCCACCACAGGCGAGGGGGGGGGAATGGGTTGGCTCGATTGACTCAGTGCAGTGTGAATGTGAACCACACCAGCTGAAAATATAAACAAATGTTCCGAATTTTGGTTCCCAATCGAACAGAGTCTACCGGACTATCAGGCGTGAAAACAACCTAATTTAAAATAAGCCGAAAGTGTTGTTCCAAGGTGCTACAGCTAGCTGCTACTGCTAATTGTGTTTGTAAATTACCAGAGTTTTAAGACCACTGTGTTCTTGACTTTGTTCAAACTACCCGTTAGTTTGTCAGTTCGGTCAGAATTGTTTTTCTCCAAACTAAAGGTCATTCAAAGATCCATCTACAACATGTAAAATGTTAATGGTTTATAACGTTACACACTTCACTAATCATTATAGCAAAGGGTTAAAGTGTCGGCCTGTGTTTTGCAGGTCTGTGCACCTTAGCCACAGTGTGCTGCTACCTCGCCGGGATGGACCTGCTCCACAGGGTGTCGATGCTGCCCGACAAGGTGGACGGCTCTCTGGGCTGGTCCCTTTATTTAGCTCTCATATCCTCACCTCTGCACATGATGGCAGCGGCGCTTCTGGTGTGGGCGGCGCGCAGCCACAGTCAGAACTACTACCGCATGACCGCCTACCGAGTGGCATAGCCGGGCATTTGGCTATGGAGCTGAAAGTCTCTTCAAAGTCCAACCTCCATTCTGACATCAAAATGTGTTGCTGTGACATTTTTCCCTTTATTTTTTATTTGTTCAACTAAATCCTATATATTGTACAGTAAATGATCCTAAAGTATGCTGCATTAGTAGATTTAATTTTAGAGGTCCTAATTTGTAGAGTTAACCAGAGGAATGTGGATAGTCCAGCATTTAGTCTTAGTCAGGCACAGGGAAAGTGTGTGAGTTTATAATATCATCAGGACTATTTGCAAATAAACCAACGCCAACTGTTTAACCACATTATTTAAGTTCAAATCTATCAGAAGATTAATAAAAAGTTTCATAGAGCAAAATAAAACCCGTTCACTAAACACTTCAGGGCACCTTTTTCCCATCAAGTGACCATTTTCCCATCTTTTCCTCAAAAGGCTATGGGATGGTGGGGGTTGAAGCCAACCTACCTCTGGGTCAGTAAGGTATGATCCATGTATGTAAGGGTAAAGCCGGCATTGCAGCTCAAGAGTGTGATTGTTTGTGTGACCATCTGGCCCCAGGATTTAGACTTGGAGATGTCCCACACATTATGCGTTGTGTTTTACCTCAACGATGCTTCTATGAATCTTGTCTTTAAGGAAAATACCTTAAAACATTAACCTTGCCACAATTATTGGTATTGTTTTCAGACATTTTAAATCTATAAGACAAGAACAAAAGACATTACTGACAGAAAATGAGTAAATAAGTCACAGTTTATTAATGTTATACGATCAAATTAGGTACAACTTTTAGGGAATCCAGTTCTTTGGTTACGATAAAACTAAACCTTTGAAGGCGCCATCCTGTCCATACGATCGTATCTCACTGGGCTGCAACTGTTGGAGACTAACTGGTGACTCAACTGATAAATTGGGACAAATCTTCTGTTGCAGTCTCATTAAATCTGAGTGTTAGTAGCCAGCACTCCATTGGTGTTTAGAACCACCAATTAAAAAAAATGTACAAATCATGGGTTATACTCGTACACAGCTTGCAAAATGGTATTCTATGCCATGCGCATTGCTTTGTCACCCACATCGTACCTGCCTCGGCTGGCTTTGTACCCTCCTTGGCAGCCGCCCCCACATTTATAATTTGTCTACTGGAGTACACCCGCCAATGTTTTGAGACACTTTGGAGACCCCCTTGTGAATATCGCTCCCTGACTATAGCGCCAGAGATGCTACCATTGGAGTTGTTTCTGGTACAGTACGCCTTTATTTTATCAAGGAGTGACAAAATAAGATGATTAGATGGGAAACAGCACAAAATATTGGTTAGGAATAAAAAGTAGACTGTCGTGAGTTGAGAAAATCTAAACTGCTTCCGCAAAACCTTTAAAACGCTCAGTGGAAGAGTGGCGGGAAGCTTCGAGAAAAATGGAAATTACTGCTGTAGTCACTAAATCACTATTAAAACACCATTACTGAAGAAAATGGACATACTTTCATTCATTTCTTAAGATGCGCAGAAATTGTGCTCTGACATAATTTTGACCACTGCAGTACGTTCGGCTCAGACGAGAATTACTTGTGCCTCGGCTTGTTCCTACGTATAAACTCAAATGACGTAAAAGGAGGCTACGTTTCAGCTTAGGTCAGCTATTCTGCTCGTTTAGGTTCCCTGTAGCTCGTGTTCCCAGCAGTAACCAGGCACAGCATACGTGTAGCGATCCAAGCTGTCCGACAGTACATAGTGTTTCCTAAAGTTGTCAAATTAGAGTGCACGGGTTGTTCCGCTACATTTTACTGTCGACGCTTGTCAGCGTGCTGCGCCTCTGATCATACTTGAAGGATGGCTTTTTGTCCTTAGTCAAGCACACACAAGCATTTATCAGTAATTCTGTATACTTGACACACTCAGAGAATGTTTGCAGCTAAAATGGACCACTTTATCAGCTGTTTGAACCATCTCGCTGAAGCTGCTTTCAGTAGGATGTGGGTCCGTGAGAAATAAAGCGAGACTTAAAGAAAATTTTTGCAAAAACAAAAAATACCGTAATTTCCGGACTATAAGCCTCTACTTTTTTCACACGCTTTGAACCTCGCGTTTTTTTTTTTTTTTTTTTTTTTTTTTTTTTACTGCTAACGAGCTTCATGTCGCCAAAACGTTTAGCGTCATCACACCGGGGCGCTCGCATAGCTGCCCAATACACGTGGGTCCTCGTGGCTTCAGACTACGTGTATAAGTAAAGGTTAAAAAAACCTGACCAATGAAATTACTAAACAGGATTAATGTATTTTATTTTTTTTAACCAGCCGTGTTACAGACACTGTTCTGAAACATTTACTGTACGTATTTGTGTATGTTACGGTACATGTTTAATTAAAAGTTGTTGTTTTTTAAATTCTGTGTAAATATGTTGCAACATGGAAACCTGCGGCTTATAGACAAGCGCGGCCTATATATTTACACTTTTTTCTTTTTAAATTGAGTGGGCGTGGCTTATATTCAGGTGCGCTCAATAGTCCGGAAATTACGGTATTTACAACATTTTATTTATTTAACTGGTATTTATTCTTTGGAATTATGAAGAATGGGAAAGTGGTTTTGTTTACATGTTTACTTAGTTTGTAGTTTTGTTATTTCTTGTGTATCTTCTGTCATATGTTTACCAATTTTGTGGAAAACACCCTTTTTGTTATTTATGCATACGTTCAGTATGATTTTGACCTCAAGCCATCCCGCAAATGTGAATTTAATTTCTTACGTTTTTTTTATTTTTTATTATTATTGTTAAAGTTTAATTACTTTTTGTCATTTTCAACACACAAAAAAAAACCATCAGGATTTCATGGGTTTTCTTTTCCCTTATTGGCATTATGAATGTACTTTAAAAAGGCCATATGATGAAAACTCCAATATTGCTTTGCACTTAAAAGTATTTTTGATCATATCCTGAATATTGTAGCCGTTTGAAAGTAGTAAAGCTATTTTTTTGGACAATGTAAACATCAGTATTTAAACGAAGCTTATTAATTGTAAACCATGGTGTGTGTTATTCAGTTAGCACCACTTCTTATAAAATTAGTGGATATTTAGAAACTACATGTTGACTGACAGAAATGATTCTGGCTGTATTTTAGACATTAAAGCTCTTCTATCCCTGAACGCATTGTAACGTTTTGTGACTTTACAGTGAACGTGTTGCTGATGTGTACATTTGAAGATGTATGCAATAAAAGCTTTTGTTAAAAAACCAAAACTTATTTTGCACTCGTCTCATGTGAGGAACATCGTCAATCCTCTTCTGATGCACAAGGCCGTTCGCTCGCCTGTTTCTCCTCCGTTCGCGCCCGGATTGGAGGAATCATCACTCGCTTCTTTCTGGCCAGGGAGAGCGCGATGCCCTTCTCGTAGTAAGAACATTCATTGATGAAGAAAGGATAAAGAGGTTCGTTGCCCTTATATGTCAGGTCTTCCCCTGAGAATGTCCGGAATAGGGGGTCTTCGGGGTGGAGCAGGCAAAAGTCTCGGTCCTGAAAAAAAAAAAGGGGGGTTAAGGCAATGTGATGGGACTGGAGACCTGTCCAGGGTGTACCCTGCCTCGCACAATTATGGCTGAATATGGGCACCAGTGACCCCTGCGACCCGAAAAGGAAGAAGGTGGTAAAGATAATGGATGGTTAAGGCAACAATTGAGATTTTACCACTCGAGGAACCTTTTTGGTTTTGCATGTGAAACAGTGGGGAAGCTAAATCCAGTATTTCACAAGGATCCCACTGTTGGAGACACAAAAATGCAAGAAAACACATGTTCAGCAGTAGTTTTACTGCGCTCAGGTAAATACTGGCAAGGTTCTCAAACTGGCACTGGCGGTACTCAGGATTAGGGTTTCCAAATTTTCCTTAAACGTCATGTGAAGTTGGTGAATTTTGTAAATATCCTAAAATGAAAACTTTATGAATGTTTCTGTTCAGTGCCCTGAGATGACTTCTGTTGTGAATTGGCGCTATTTAAATAAACTGAACTGAATTGAGTTGATGGAAATTATGGGAATTTGATGTCATTATGATGACATCACTGCGTCACAACAACAACTTCTAGAGAACAACAGGTGTAGAACTTTTCTACCATTCTCTTCTTTGTTGGTGTTTTTGTAATCCTTTTCTAAATTAACGAGCACATGCAAACATTCACTTGTCATGCTAGTTTGTTCACGTTTTTTTGGCATTGATGTCAAATAAAAACAAGAAATTGCAATAAATTGCATTTCATAACAAAACTTGACAACTGAGCTAAACTTTTTACGTGCAGGTGACAGTTCTTTATTTATTTTTACAGTGCGGGACCTCTCACTGCATGGTACAGCAATGAGATCTGGTTGATTATGGTAGATTATGCTAAAATATATTTTGCTTACTATGTTTTCTGTTAAGGGCCAACCTTCAACATTTTTAATTCCAGGTTAATGGAAGTACTTGGAGATCTTAGTAGTTTTTGAGGTGATACTCATTCCAGTTACTATCATACAACAAAACTGACTGTTGCAGATATCATTTGCAGTTAAGTTTTTTTTTTTAACCATTATTTGGTATGTGATGTGGGGAAAAAAATTAAAAAAAAAATACATTGAAATTGAAGAAAATAAAACAATAGTTTTCTCTGTAAAGGTTTAGGTCAGTGATAATTTCTGGGCTCATATAAAATTTAATTTTATATTAACAATAATAATTACAGCTATTAAAATTATCTATGGGTGTCGGTTTATTTTGATCTGTGGCTTGAAGCATTTTGAGCAAAAGGGCTCCACCCTGTGATATGAACAACAGAGTTTATGGCTACAATGCATAGAGTGACTCATAAATGTTTAAACAGCAGAACGTGTGCAGCACACAATGAATATTAATCACTTGCCAAGATGAAAGGGATGTTTGTGACTGCGCAATACGTTTTCAGTTGGTTATTAATCATTAGGCGGTATGCTTGTCTTGTTAAACATTTGTTAGTCATCCACACCCAGGTTCATTCTAACTCACATAATGCTCAGTAGCTCCTAAGTTGAATCGTTTGAGCGTTCAGGTGACAGGGCTTTGTCGGGCCGTACCTGGAGGTGAGGATGAATGGCAGCTGTAATGTTGTGAGTCTGGCTGTCTCTCGGGTAGTCAATGTTTTTAACCATGGTAAACACATCAACATATCCTCCTTCAGACACAGCGCCTAATCGTAGGTACAGAACAAACATCAGAGGTGAACTCAAACTTTAAAAATATGGGAATCTTTCAGGACATTTCTGAGTTACAAAGCAAACCTGCTCAGTTGCTGAGCCGACATGAAACGTACCCGAGTTAAAGTGGCGGATCCAATCCAGAATGTGCTGCACGCCTACTTTCATTGCTGTGTAGATGTTTGATCTCACCACACCGTGTGGCTGGGGACCAATCTCCAAAGCTGCAGAAGAAGGATTTTAAATGAAAAGTGTATATTTGTCACAATAATCACTTTTATTTATATATTAACTTTTATTTAACGAGGCAGATCCCACTGAGATCACAGGTCTCTTTTGCAAGGGAGGCCTGAGCCTGAAAGCAGACTAACAAGCATTGGTCTGAAGAAACCTGAGTATCCAGAGAAAACCCATGCATGCACGGGAAGAACATACAAACTCCACACAGAAAGAACCCAGGACCTTTTTGCTGTAAGGCAACAGTGCTAACCACTAAGCCGTCATGCTACCATCTAGTATTGAAATACGTCTGAAACACTGATTTTAGTGTAAAGATTTTAAACTCACCAAAGCCATGTTTTCCAACTGAATCAAGAGAATAAGATTCTTTCTTAGAAACATCAAAATGGATGAATCTCATTGGCATTTCTGGCATCTGCCTCTAAAAGAAAAATATTAGTTAAACTCTGGACATGAGAAACTTATTCTAATAAAGATGTGCAGTTGCTACATATTTTAAACAGTATGTTACTATATTGTATAATTAGTGTAAAATACTGATTATTCTACCACTGCTGAATCATCAGCAAACAACAAGAAATGAATTTGACAGTAAAGTGATGCATCAGCAGAGAAGAGCACAGGACTGAGTACACATCCTTGAGGTACACCGGTGCTGAGTTTGAAGGAGTATGTCCAGTTTAATGTGTCCTGTGACGTTGTTTAAAACACTTCAATGTAAGAGAGGTCATAATATATAATAAACTTTTTTGTGATTTATTGGTATAAATTAGCTTCTTTGTTAAGGAACTTTTTTTCCCTATTTTGGTTTTGTTTAGTCTAATAATAATGACATGGTCAGATTTCACCATTTGTGTTTTTGCACATTTGAGTTTGGTCTTGAACAATTTTAGAACCTGTAAAAGACCAGATTATTATTATCATTATTGTATTTATTATGTCTTGACACATAAAACCCTAAAACTGAATGCTAGTAGACTTTTTCCCCCCCTGAAGTCTAAAATATTTGAGCGGATGCAAGATAATATATAAGCAAAATACTTTTATTTTTTTGGCCTGTACTTGATGTTTAAGAGAATTCTTCACAGGGTGAGTCTTGTGTGTGGCAACTTTGTTTACCTGCAGGTGTTTGAATATGTGAAGACAGATCCAGTCGTTGTCAGAATATGCAATGAAACACAGGCCCATGTTGGCGGTGGTGTTGTGGAGATCACAAACAAGATCCACTGCCCCTGGACTGCCTTTTGGACCCAGCATGGCATTCAGCTCTCGGGCCCAGATGATCTCATAGGGAGCTGTGTCTGACACGGGACCACTGGGAGACAATTTGTCATGAGTACTTGTTACTGTGAGCAACGTCGCCTACTCTCATTGCCTTACCTGAGGGTAGCATGGGAAAAGCAGCGGTTCAGATCTGTGTCTACGTATCTGCGGCACTGCTGTATGGCCCAAGGGTTGGACAGCACCATCAGGACTGACATAAGTCCGTCGTCTTCCATTTCTTTCTGCTGCACCTCCTTCAGCAGATCTCTAATCAAGTACACTCCAGACAGCTCGTTGCCATGGGTACCGCCACACAGGACGACCCGTGGCAACCTTGGCAAACACACCGGCTCGACTACCTCCATCTGACTGGGTGCAACCGAAGTCACAGCCGGAAAGAGTTCAAGAAAACAATTTTACACAAAAAAATAAGACTGTACAGTTTAGATCAGTGGGTGCATTGTCTGTATTTACAAGCACAGTCTGACAAAGTTAGAACAGTGTGTAAAATGTAAAAAAAAAAAATGCAATTATTTGCAAATCTCATACACCAAAAACATATTCAACTTTGGAACATACCGTAATAAGCAAATGTATGTTTTGTGGACAAAATTAAGAGTTTTTATTTTTATAGCAGGCACACCTTTAAATAGTTGGTCCAGCAAAATTCTGTAAGGTGGTACGAAGCGGAGGTTGATCGGTAACACGTCCATAAGAAGAAAAGAAAGCATTTTAGAGACGGACTCTCTCAGAAGTAAAGATGGTCTAAAGAAAAATTGTGTTTGAAGATAGTGGATCAATTTTAGAATAATATACATCAATTTGACACCCATGATCTTCAGGCCCGATGCTGTTCTGGACATCCCTGCGTGGACTCAGGAACACTTCTACAAATCACTGTTAATGGTTCCCCATACCATCCGCTGGTTAAAGCTCTATCATGCAAAGAAGCAGCCATATGTGAATACCATCCAGAAAATGCCGCCATCTTCTCTGGGCCAAAGTTACTTTAAACTGGACTGGAGCCAAGTGGAAAATGTTCTCTGGTCAGACAAACTGAATCAACAAATTGAATTTTATTTTTTTATTTTTTTGGGAAACCACAGACGACATGTCCTCCTTACAAAGAGGAGAGGGATCATCCATCCATCCATCATCTTTACCTGCTTCTTCCTTTTCGGATCACTGGTGCTCATATCCAGCAGTCACTGTGCGAGAGGCGGGGGCAGGTCGCAAGTGAGAGGGAGCATCTGTTCTGTTATTGGAGCACAGTTCAAAAGCCTGCCTCTCTGATGGTATGGGGGTGCATTACCGCCTCTGACATGGGCAGCCTACACATGTGGAAAAGCACCCTCAATGTAGAACTAGGGACGCACAATATTATCGGCATGTATCGGCCGATATTAGCGATAAAGTACCGGACATTCCATCAAAATAACTCACCGATATAAAAGGTATTGTTTATATATATATATATATTTTTTTTATATATATATATAAGGCGGGGAGAGATACCAAGCTTAACTGTTGTAAACAGGACCCTGGTCTGACTTTGAAAAGTGTTGCGACCATAAAATTCAAAATTACTTTTTTTTTTTTCCAAGAAATGCAGCAATTTCTGAGTGTAACCCTCCTGCTGTTCTCAGATCAAAATGTCCCCGTTTGATCCAAGGACAGCAGGAGGGTTAAGACGTGTTCCACTGTGAATAAAACATGGGTCTGAGAAACGTGCATTTTCATGTACATTTAACACAAAGTCCCAACTTTCTCTTAATTCCAAGTTTTTAGATTTGCTGAGCATCGCCGCCGAATGAAGCTGTTCATATAATATTCATCATTTGCTCCACTTCCTTCATTTAGTATGCTGATGTCACAACTGCAGCACGGAACAGACGCCCAGTCTCATCTTTCATCTCCGGTAGAAGTTCAGGTTTCAAACTAAACTAAATCAGCGCCGAGAGGAAGTCCAGCAGAAAAAGCTCGAAGTAAATTAAATTAAAATGAGTCACCTTTCACAACTTACCCTGGTTGTTACTTCTACTCTCCCGGCCGTTCACCCTCTTCCACCCTCTCCCGGGCTTTCGAGTAGTTTCACTGATTCAGCATTTCCATCCTTGCTCCTGTTACTAAGCTGCAGCTGCGCGTTCTGAACACTCAGCGTCTCCTACCCATCACTCTGAGTCTGCATCCCCAGGTAGGGTGGGTCCAGAGTGATGCAGCTGGGAGGTTAGCTGAACTCTGAGTGCATCCCTGACTCGCCGTATCCTCTGTGCACAAAGCAAAGGGATGGTAGGTTCCAGGTTGCTTTAAAAACAACAAAAAAAAAAGAGTGGCTCAAAACAAATCTGCTGGGATGACACAGCAAAAGAGGTGCATGGGATAATGAGTACGAAGGAAGAAACTCATCTGATGAATGAGAGAAGCAGCTGATTTACAGCAAAAACTTGATTTAAATACAAAAAAAAGGCCCATTTATAAATGATTAATGCTTTACATGTTGTCACTGATGAGTTTGTAAGCACTCTGTAAAGCATGACTAAGCATTTATAAAACACTCCATTTATTAGAAGACAATCACTATTTGGCAAGATCCAAGTTCCGTTTTATTCCTTCAGATACATGGAAAAAGCAAGGACTTCTTTAAAAAGTCTTCAGTTGATCCAAAATGCTGCTGCCAGAGTCTTAACTGGAGTTACTGGGAGAGATCATATCTCCAGTTTTAGCTTCTCTCCATTGGCTCCCTGTCAAATCCAGAATTGAATTCAAAATCTTACTTCTAACCTACAAAGCCCTCAACAACCTAGCTCCATCGTATATTAGAAATGTTATTGTCCCATATTTTCCTAACAGAGCACTTCACTTTCAGAAGGCTTACTTGTGGTTTCTATCGTTTCCAACATCAGAATGGGAGGATCTTTCATTTATCAGGCTCTTCTCTTGTGGAACCAACTTCCAGTTTCCATCCGTGAGACTGACACATTGTCCAGTTTTAAGACTGGGCTTAAGACTTTCCTTTTTGATAAATCCTATAGTTAGGGCCGGATTGTTATGCTGCTATAGACTTAAACTACTGGAGGACAAATTGACCTAATTTCTTTAAATGAAGTGTTAAAATTGAATAGTTTTCATTTGATATTATTTCTATCTTAACATGTGATTCTCGACCTGCCATTGTGTATCTATTCCTCCTTCCTGTTCCTCTCAAACCCAGCTGGTCGAAGCAGATGGCCGCTTGTCCTGAACCTAGTTCTGCTAAAGGTTTCTTCTTCATGAGGGAGTTTTTCCCTTTCCACTGTCGCCTTCATGCTTGCTCAAGATGAGAGTCTGTGATGGAAGCTAAACTCAAAACAGTCTGCTCCTCAGATAAATAATGTTAAGTTACTTTTATATATGAATATTTATCTGTTCAGTACCCTGAGATGGCTTCTGTTGTGACTTGGCACTATATAAATACCGTAGTCAAAACAGGATTTTATCATCTAAAAAAAATAGCCAGAGTCCGCCCTCTTCTCTCTCTCTCACCAATGCTGAGACTTTGTTGCACGCTTTTATTTCTAGCTGTTTAGACGACTGTAACGCACTGCTTCCTGGTCTCCCTAAGAAAAATGTATCCAGCCTTCAGCTGTTACAAAACTGCTGCTCGTTTGCTCACCAAGACCAGAAGGCAGGCTCATATTACACTGGTTTTAAAAATCATTGCATTGGCTCCCTGTGCGCCTCAGGATTGATTTTAAGATTCTCTTAGTGGTTTTTAAATGTCTCAATGGTCTCGCACCATCTTATCTTGCAGAGCTGCTATTACCTTATGAACCCCCACAGACCCTAAGGTCCTCTGGCACTGGACTACTAACAGTCCCAATAGTCAGAACCCACACTTACGGTGAGGCTTATTTCCAGTACTATGCCCCCCCCCC